ATCTATATGGCGGGCTTGATTCATTTTATGTTTGAAAAAGAACTCTAAAATACGAGGTGTGCTAAAATAAAATGTCTGCTATTACCAACGTACTTTGAATATGAATGGAAATATGTTATATTATTTTAAGTAATCCACGTACATTTTTTCAACTTTTATTTGTTACTTTTCGGTAGAAATCTGCATGGTATCGGTAGGTTCCTTGACAAATCGGTAGATCTACCGACAAATCGGTAGACCTGGCATCTCTGATTGGAACACCGGGCGAAAGTTGATAACGCGAGTTACTAGAACACGGTTGCCATATCCGTATAAGGATTAACTAATCCGCGGCTGAATTTCAACGGTGCATACCAGCTGGGTTCTTAAACCGGATTAACTTTTAAACGCGTTTAGTTGATCGCGATTAGGTAGCTTGGCGGTGCATACGGCGGTTAGTTGATCCCAATTAGGTAGCTTGGCGGTGCATACGGCGGTTAGTTGATCGCGATTAGGTAGCTTGGCGGTGCATACTGCGGTAAGTGATACTTAGCTAAGATGAAGTTTTACCTGGCAACATTGCTAAAAGGGACAAATTGGCTTTTGCTCCCTCCTTTTCTTTCCAAAATAATCTTTATCTTAGAACTGAATGCGAGTTTACCGTTACTGTTTACGTCTCAAATGTAACTAATTAATAATATATTATTGAAGATGGAGTCATTTGAAAATAAAAAACGGACTACATTTTTCCTATAACTACCAGGTGGAAGCGAACAATGCTATGTTATGAAGAGGAGCTTCAAAACAATGTAGCCAAAATAGAGCAGGACAAAATCATGCTCGAGTTTCAGTAGGAAAAGTTAAAATTGGAATACTTGAAAAAGACTTAAGCAAATAATGCTACTTTCCATTTGTTTTAGTAATACATCATAAGTTAGTTAATTTAATAATGAACTTTTATTTAATAATTTTGATCTTTTATCAAAAGCATTACTTTCAATTCAATTCATTGCTATTTACCAATGAATCTAAAGTAGGATCAGTTAAGTCCTTTCTAGTTTGATTCCCTTGCAACAAAATATTGTTTCTGTAATATATGACGCTTATGTTAGGTACTTCATCTTCTTGCATAAGATGTATGAAGCGTTCAACCTCTTCATGATCAGGTGGCTGTTCCTCATTTTGCCATCTACTCAATTATTTTATTATTAAGACCGTATCTATTTTTAGACGACAACCGTATGCAAGGACTGGGAATCCTCCTTTCCAGATACCAAATATCCGTTCAATTATATTTCTTATCCGTATATGCGACTCGTTGAATAATGGCTTTGCACGATTTGCAGGGTGTTGTAACTGAGTTGATAAATCCGGCCTTATGTTACATCATCCATCGACTATAAACAGACAGCCTTGTTCTATGGCTATGGTTGCTAGCACTTGACAGCAACTAACCATTTCTGAAATTTTTAGTAATCAATTTAGGACTTTTAACTGCTTAATATGCTTATAAAATGTTTAGTTGTTAATTCGATATTTTAACCACATCTAAAATATTCCAATAGTTAATTCAAGAGTTTTAACTGTTTCTAAAATTTTTCAATAGTTAATTCGAGATACATAACCACTTTTAAAATTTTTCAATAATTAAATCAGAATTTTTAACCACATCTAAATTTTCAAATGAATTTCTACACGGGAATTGTGTGGTTTGAAGCCCTCCGAATTTTTTCTGGCTGTATCTTAAAGAACACGTTAAATTGAACAGTTTCAGCAAAAAAATCCTGGATGGTCCTCACTTTTCTGAGGAAAATAACTATTTTTAGGCTACATTTCGAGCGGCGTTGCCAAACTGCCTAAGACGTTTTAAGTTCACGGAAATTGTTTCCTTTGATACCTAGCATGTACGAATTCATTCAATTTGGGTCGGTTCTGATTATTTAGATCTTTTCGGGTTATTAACTTTTACTTTTTGTATATTTTTTAGATTTTTGAAAAAAATCACTTCAACCATCCTAACACAAAGTAATACATATTTTTGAAATAAATAACCTTATTTAGGTAGTAGTAGAAGTATTAGTATACAACAAATAATATTTTATACTTAAAGTACGAATGATTTTAAGGACACTCAAAACGAACCGCCTCTGCAACTAGCTTCTGGCTACACATTTTGTGAACCCATATACCTACTCCGAGGCCCGTTTGCATCGTTGAAAATAAGCTTGGCTTTGCCATTAAGCTCAGCTTTAAAATAAAATAGGTTTGCACCACATTATAAACCAGGCTTACAGCATTCAAAGCTCATTCAACTTTGGTGGCTTATGGTGATTACTTAAGCCGTAAATTGTAACCTTCGTTTTCCTTCTTCATACATGTGGCGATAGTTAACAAAATTGAAAATTACGTTAACAAACCAAAAATAAAAACAATGGATATCGAAACTTGTTTTGACATGTTTGAAGACGATCTAGATATCTTTGAGATAATCGAATTTCGATTTCCAAAGACTTCAAAGAGAATTTTTCAAGACAGAATTTTATCACGTCTTTTATTGCAGATTGATAAATAGTGCTCCTATTTCGCAATAAGAACGAATTAATTATCAAAAAGTAATCAA